TTCTTTTCTGACAATGTACAAAGAATGCAGTTTACAATAATAAAAAAAGCATAACAATATTCTCCAAATACCTCACATGAAACTAAATAAAAGTAGGCTACTATAATCAATGTTTAAATATGAAACCCACTTAATGACAATAAAAGATTAAAGTTATTAGCTTTCTTTTAAATAACATCTGGCTTCCCTAATATCTAATGTATTCCAAACACACAGCTATATGCTACATTTGACACTAAATAATGCAAAACGTTAAAAAACGCACAAGAAAAAGACGAGAAATGATCAACCAGTGCAATCTTGAAACAAGTCTTACATAGTACAAATATGCGTGGCTAAAGCCAACTTTTTTTTTTTTTTGCCAATTATGGTTATAAAAATACATATACCGGTAATATAATGTAATATTATATCATATAATAACAAGACTTACATCAGTACAAATATGCAATGTTGGCAGCTGTGGTTCTAAAATATATAATATGTTGCTAAAGCCAATTTATTAAATTTCTTGGCATTTACAGTTGTACATATAATATAATATAATATGAGTTACATTAATAAAAATATCCAATGTTTTGCAGTTCCTGAAGTCAATTTACAATTTTTTTCAATTATAGTTGTAAAAAGGCATATAATAATATAATAGAATACAATATAATAGAAAACGTAGTAATTTAGGTCATTTAATTTCACATATCTTATCAGCAGTAAAACATTCTGTGTGCACAGAAAGAAAGAAAAGAGAGAAAGAATAGAGTGAGGATAAACATAAATGACAGAGTGGGGGAGAGGTGAAGACAAGAGGAGAGAGATGCAGGTATATAAAGCTGCTGTGTGACAGAGCATCAGGGAGAACACATGAACACATTTCCAGACAGAGATCACCAGACGAGGACAGAGGACGGAAACCAGAAAAGAGGGAAAAGGGAAGAATCCTCAAAGGTAAGATACTGATTTGGCTTTCTTTTTATATTACATGATGCTAAAAGCATCAATGTGACGCTACAAGGATAATCAATTTTCAATAGGCATTTTTAAGAACACAGTATGTGAAATAATAATAAACTTTATTTGTATAGCACCTTTAATACACTCTCACAGAAGAAAAGTGCAAAAATTGTACTTTTAGGGGTGTAACAGCTTGTCACCGGTGCACTCGCCTCAAAGGGACACTTTTGTACCTTCTTTATCTCTATACAGGGTTCATAATAGTATCATAAAAGTACATATTACTACATTAAGGGTATTATTATTACTCTGAGGTACTAATATGCTCCCTTTAGGGGTAAAGAAGGTACAAAGATGTCCCTTTGTGGCTTCTGCCTCAGTGACAACCTGTTGTACCGGTACATTTTTTGCACTTTCTTTTCTGACAATGTACAAAGAATGCAGTTTACAATAATAAAAAAAGCATAACAATATTCTCCAAATACCTCACATGAAACTAAATAAAAGTAGGCTACTATAATCAATGTTTAAATATGAAACCCACTTAATGACAATAAAAGATTAAAGTTATTAGCTTTCTTTTAAATAACATCTGGCTTCCCTAATATCTAATGTATTCCAAACACACAGCTATATGCTACATTTGACACTAAATAATGCAAAACGTTAAAAAACGCACAAGAAAAAGACGAGAAATGATCAATAGGAATCAATTATAAAATAATTTTCTCACTTTGTTAAATGTTGTCTTGTAAACATTTTGTATGGACTAAACGATACTTTTATCCACCATGTAACAACAGTAATAATGTGACATAACATTATATATATATATGGGATAACAGGAACAAAGCCAAACTTTTTACATCTTTTTTTAATTAACGCCATGTAATCATCCATTTTTTTATACTGCATTTACTTCGATTAAATACGTTTTATTTTTAGAAGTATTAAAATCACTCCTAGTAGCAAACTTACAGTATCCTATCATCAGTGAAAACTGCTTATAATTATTTTGATGCATTTTTTAAAACAAAATATCACTAGTAGCTCACAGCAGCTGAATGCAATAATTCAAACAACTGAGAATAAATGTATAGATCTCATATACCCTCCATTTTTTCTTCTAGGCATGCAGACAAACGAGATGAACGTTTTACTAGCTGTGTTTTGCGTGTTTAGCATCCTCCAGCTCTGTCACGGAGTATCCAGCAGTGGAGAATGCTACTTCAACTCAAAAGGTAAACTGGACAATACAATACAGTATAGGTTGGGCTAAATATGATTTGTGACCTTAAGCGTTAATGATCACCGTTTCGCTGCAGCCAGCTGTGAACACAACGGCCGTGTATTTGACATCGGGGAGGCCTGGATAAACGACGAATGTTTCCAGTGTGTGTGTTTCGAGCCGTTTGGAGTGGGCTGCTGTGAACAGTGAGTTTCAGAGGCGCATACTGACATGACTGCAAGCACTCACTACATGCATGCAGCTCATTGTTCTTTACTGTCCTCTAGTGGAAAGCAGCCAGTCGATTACCCGTTCTGGTGCGAAGCCATTAGGAAACCAGATTCCTGCACAGTTGCTGTGGTGATGAAGGCCAACCATAAACTTCCCTGTCTGTTTGGGGGGAAGAACCGCCTTTGGAAATCAGAGAACGACCCACTCTTCTAGACTGCACTACTGAATTCACTCATGCAAAACACTCATTTAAATATACAGCTTATTCACTATGTTTCCCAATATACACACACACACTGATCAAAAGTTGGAGTCAGTAAGATATTTAACAGTTGTTTAAAGAAGTCTCCTATTTATTTAAAATAACGGTATTCTATTTTAATGCATTTAAAAAAGTAATTTATTCCTGTGGTGGCAAAGTAATATAATAGAATACAATATAATAGAAAACGTAGTAATTTAGGTCATTTAATTTCACATATCTTATCAGCAGTAAAACATTCTGTGTGCACAGAAAGAAAGAAAAGAGAGAAAGAATAGAGTGAGGATAAACATAAATGACAGAGTGGGGGAGAGGTGAAGACAAGAGGAGAGAGATGCAGGTATATAAAGCTGCTGTGTGACAGAGCATCAGGGAGAACACATGAACACATTTCCAGACAGAGATCACCAGACGAGGACAGAGGACGGAAACCAGAAAAGAGGGAAAAGGGAAGAATCCTCAAAGGTAAGATACTGATTTGGCTTTCTTTTTATATTACATGATGCTAAAAGCATCAATGTGACGCTACAAGGATAATCAATTTTCAATAGGCATTTTTAAGAACACAGTATGTGAAATAATAATAAACTTTATTTGTATAGCACCTTTAATACACTCTCACAGAAGAAAAGTGCAAAAATTGTACTTTTAGGGGTGTAACAGCTTGTCACCGGTGCACTCGCCTCAAAGGGACACTTTTGTACCTTCTTTATCTCTATACAGGGTTCATAATAGTATCATAAAAGTACATATTACTACATTAAGGGTATTATTATTACTCTGAGGTACTAATATGCTCCCTTTAGGGGTAAAGAAGGTACAAAGATGTCCCTTTGTGGCTTCTGCCTCAGTGACAACCTGTTGTACCGGTACATTTTTTGCACTTTCTTTTCTGACAATGTACAAAGAATGCAGTTTACAATAATAAAAAAAGCATAACAATATTCTCCAAATACCTCACATGAAACTAAATAAAAGTAGGCTACTATAATCAATGTTTAAATATGAAACCCACTTAATGACAATAAAAGATTAAAGTTATTAGCTTTCTTTTAAATAACATCTGGCTTCCCTAATATCTAATGTATTCCAAACACACAGCTATATGCTACATTTGACACTAAATAATGCAAAACGTTAAAAAACGCACAAGAAAAAGACGAGAAATGATCAATAGGAATCAGTTATAAAATAATTTTCTCACTTTGTTAAATGTTGTCTTGTAAACATTTTGTATGGACTAAACGATACTTTTATCCACCATGTAACAACAGTAATAATGTGACATAACATTATATATATATATGGGATAACAGGAACAAAGCCAAACTTTTTACATCTTTTTTTAATTAACGCCATGTAATCATCCATTTTTTTATACTGCATTTACTTCGATTAAATACGTTTTATTTTTAGAAGTATTAAAATCACTCCTAGTAGCAAACTTACAGTATCCTATCATCAGTGAAAACTGCTTATAATTATTTTGATGCATTTTTTAAAACAAAATATCACTAGTAGCTCACAGCAGCTGAATGCAATAATTCAAACAACTGAGAATAAATGTATAGATCTCATATACCCTCCATTTTTTCTTCTAGGCATGCAGACAAACGAGATGAACGTTTTACTAGCTGTGTTTTGCGTGTTTAGCATCCTCCAGCTCTGTCACGGAGTATCCAGCAGTGGAGAATGCTACTTCAACTCAAAAGGTAAACTGGACAATACAATACAGTATAGGTTGGGCTAAATATGATTTGTGACCTTAAGCGTTAATGATCACCGTTTCGCTGCAGCCAGCTGTGAACACAACGGCCGTGTATTTGACATCGGGGAGGCCTGGATAAACGACGAATGTTTCCAGTGTGTGTGTTTCGAGCCGTTTGGAGTGGGCTGCTGTGAACAGTGAGTTTCAGAGGCGCATACTGACATGACTGCAAGCACTCACTACATGCATGCAGCTCATTGTTCTTTACTGTCCTCTAGTGGAAAGCAGCCAGTCGATTACCCGTTCTGGTGCGAAGCCATTAGGAAACCAGATTCCTGCACAGTTGCTGTGGTGATGAAGGCCAACCATAAACTTCCCTGTCTGTTTGGGGGGAAGAACCGCCTTTGGAAATCAGAGAACGACCCACTCTTCTAGACTGCACTACTGAATTCACTCATGCAAAACACTCATTTAAATATACAGCTTATTCACTATGTTTCCCAATATACACACACACACTGATCAAAAGTTGGGGTCAGTAAGATATTTAACAGTTGTTTAAAGAAGTCTCCTATTTATTTAAAATAACGGTATTCTATTTTAAAGTAATTACAGAGATCACCAGACGAGGACAGAGGACGGAAACCAGAAAAGAGGGAAAAGGGAAGAATCCTCAAAGGTAAGATACTGATTTGGCTTTCTTTTTATATTACATGATGCTAAAAGCATCAATGTGACGCTACAAGGATAATCAATTTTCAATAGGCATTTTTAAGAACACAGTATGTGAAATAATAATAAACTTTATTTGTATAGCACCTTTAATACACTCTCACAGAAGAAAAGTGCAAAAATTGTACTTTTAGGGGTGTAACAGCTTGTCACCGGTGCACTCGCCTCAAAGGGACACTTTTGTACCTTCTTTATCTCTATACAGGGTTCATAATAGTATCATAAAAGTACATATTACTACATTAAGGGTATTATTATTACTCTGAGGTACTAATATGCTCCCTTTAGGGGTAAAGAAGGTACAAAGATGTCCCTTTGTGGCTTCTGCCTCAGTGACAACCTGTTGTACCGGTACATTTTTTGCACTTTCTTTTCTGACAATGTACAAAGAATGCAGTTTACAATAATAAAAAAAGCATAACAATATTCTCCAAATACCTCACATGAAACTAAATAAAAGTAGGCTACTATAATCAATGTTTAAATATGAAACCCACTTAATGACAATAAAAGATTAAAGTTATTAGCTTTCTTTTAAATAACATCTGGCTTCCCTAATATCTAATGTATTCCAAACACACAGCTATATGCTACATTTGACACTAAATAATGCAAAACGTTAAAAAACGCACAAGAAAAAGACGAGAAATGATCAATAGGAATCAGTTATAAAATAATTTTCTCACTTTGTTAAATGTTGTCTTGTAAACATTTTGTATGGACTAAACGATACTTTTATCCACCATGTAACAACAGTAATAATGTGACATAACATTATATATATATATGGGATAACAGGAACAAAGCCAAACTTTTTACATCTTTTTTTAATTAACGCCATGTAATCATCCATTTTTTTATACTGCATTTACTTCGATTAAATACGTTTTATTTTTAGAAGTATTAAAATCACTCCTAGTAGCAAACTTACAGTATCCTATCATCAGTGAAAACTGCTTATAATTATTTTGATGCATTTTTTAAAACAAAATATCACTAGTAGCTCACAGCAGCTGAATGCAATAATTCAAACAACTGAGAATAAATGTATAGATCTCATATACCCTCCATTTTTTCTTCTAGGCATGCAGACAAACGAGATGAACGTTTTACTAGCTGTGTTTTGCGTGTTTAGCATCCTCCAGCTCTGTCACGGAGTATCCAGCAGTGGAGAATGCTACTTCAACTCAAAAGGTAAACTGGACAATACAATACAGTATAGGTTGGGCTAAATATGATTTGTGACCTTAAGCGTTAATGATCACCGTTTCGCTGCAGCCAGCTGTGAACACAACGGCCGTGTATTTGACATCGGGGAGGCCTGGATAAACGACGAATGTTTCCAGTGTGTGTGTTTCGAGCCGTTTGGAGTGGGCTGCTGTGAACAGTGAGTTTCAGAAGCGCATACTGACATGACTGCAAGCACTCACTACATGCATGCAGCTCATTGTTCTTTACTGTCCTCTAGTGGAAAGCAGCCAGTCGATTACCCGTTCTGGTGCGAAGCCATTAGGAAACCAGATTCCTGCACAGTTGCTGTGGTGATGAAGGCCAACCATAAACTTCCCTGTCTGTTTGGGGGGAAGAACCGCCTTTGGAAATCAGAGAACGACCCACTCTTCTAGACTGCACTACTGAATTCACTCATGCAAAACACTCATTTAAATATACAGCTTATTCACTATGTTTCCCAATATACACACACACACTGATCAAAAGTTGGGGTCAGTAAGATATTTAACAGTTGTTTAAAGAAGTCTCCTATTTATTTAAAATAACGGTATTCTATTTTAAAGTAATTTATTCCTGTGGTGGCAAAGCAGCCATTACTCAAGTCTTCAGTGTCACATGACCATTCTAATATATATTTGGCTAAAGTAACATATCTCATTATCAAGGTTTAAAATAGTTGTGCTGCTTAATATATTCGCAGAGGATTTTTAGGATTATTCGATGATTAAACAAATCTTACAAACATTAGTGCACACACACACATTGTTTGCATATTATTTAAAACGATGAAACTACTGAATCCAAGTACAGTAGGGTCTTAAGTATCGAATCCTAAAAATTTCGGAATTTTTTAAAATGTTAACAAAATTCTAAAATGTAAATGTTTGCTTAAATGTAAATGCCCCGTATGTATTATGACTAAAAGCTGAAACTTGCATTTTCCCCATGACGAATAAACAGTACTGATGTCCATCTCGAAACGGTGATATTTTTGTCTCTAAACAAATATCAGTTACTGTTTGAGAAAGCATTTCTCAGTCTTTGTTTCTAGAAACCACACTACAGATAATTGCAATATAAAATGGAAATAACCATCTGCATATGCAAGGAAACCAGAAGAGACCCAGATCCTGAGAAACACAGGGGTTCAGTGACAGTAAAAATCATGGTCTTTATTTAAAAAAGAGCTAAAGTAACATATCTCATTATCAAGGTTTAAAATAGTTGTGCTGCTTAATATATTCGCAGAGGATTTTTAGGATTATTCGATGATTAAACAAATCTTACAAACATTAGTGCACACACACACATTGTTTGCATATTATTTAAAACGATGAAACTACTGAATCCAAGTACAGTAGGGTCTTAAGTATCGAATCCTAAAAATTTCGGAATTTTTAAAAATGTTAACAAAATTCTAAAATGTAAATGTTTGCTTAAATGTAAATGCCCCGTATGTATTATGACTAAAAGCTGAAACTTGCATTTTCCCCATGACGAATAAACAGTACTGATGTCCATCTCGAAACTGTGATATTTTTGTCTCTAAACAAATATCAGTTACTGTTTGAGAAAGCATTTCTCAGTCTTTGTTTCTAGAAACCACACTACAGATAATTGCAATATAAAATGGAAATAACCATCTGCATATGCAAGGAAACCAGAAGAGACCCAGATCCTGAGAAACACAGGGGTTCAGTGACAGTAAAAATCATGGTCTTTATTTAAAAAAGAATTTAGGTATCGTTACACAAGATACAGACAATAAAGTGATTACACATCATTGTGGACTTTTTCCAGTTAAAACCATGTGTTCACCCCTTTTAATCTTTATACTATTAAGTGTTACATTTCGCTCCCATTTACTGTGTTCATAATACATATTTAGATCGGCACGGCTTTTGGACCTTTTGAATCTGGCAGTGCCACTGCTTTGAACTCACGGTAAAAAAAAAAAAATTAATCTTCAACCTTTCTTCCCTGGGTAGAATATGGTTCTTTAAAGCAAATAAAACAAACAAAAACAAAACCTGAAGAAACCATGACTTGGCCTACTCTGCTCAAAATATGTCCACTATAAGCCCATAACAGTGCAGGATATCAAATAGTGGTTTGAAAAAGTAAAGTTTTGTGTTAAAATGCAGGGGGATTAACCCAAACAAAGAACGCATATATTACTCAAAACTCCAAAATGGAAGCAAATGCTTTTTCATAAAAAACAAAACAAAGGTCCTCACGGCATGGTTGTGCATACTGTTACAGACCACATGATGTGGTTTTGGTCCCAAAATCTGTGACGCCGACAAACAGTCAGCAGAAACTTGTGCAGGACGAAGAGTGTGAAGAGGTAAGAGGAGAGCAGTGGATCAGGCACCAACAAGACCAGCAAAAAACATCCTGTGTCACATGATCAACAGGGGGAAAATGGATCTAAAGCCAAGGTGTGACTGCCAAGAAGGCTTTTATGGCACAAAATGTTGCATAAATCAGCCTCCGGTAAAATGAAAAATAATTATTGAGAGTTTTGGCTGATATGTGGAAAAATCTTGCCACAATCGTAAAGCTCTGGTCAAGGACCAAAACAACAAAAAGCTACCCTAGGGTTAGCATATAAAATTTGACACTTTAGGAATACCATAGTAGATTGTTCCTGAAATCACTTGGGATTTTCTGAGGAGATGAGCAGTGAAGCTTAATAAGTGCTCCAGAAAGATTAAAGTACTTTTGAAACATCGAGAGGCACCACATTTTTGCTAGTTGGCTTGGTGAGCCTGTCCTCCAGCAGAAGAAAAAAAAAGAAAAACAGAAGAATCAGATGTGCAGAGACAAAGAAACCAAATGAGATGAGGGTGTAAGGAAGGGAAGAGGCGGCTTTTTTCCTGCTCCAGGTCTTCCTTAGAAACTATTGAGCTCGCTCAGGGTCTGGTCCAGAGTGGTATGGATCTTGATGTTCTCCTCTTTAGCATCTCTCAGTTTCTCTGGGGGAAAAAAAATCCCCCGAAGGACAGCAACAAATTAAAAACTGCAAAATCAAATTGTAATTTAACACTGTATGTGGTTTATTAGACAAGTTAAGACTTCATTGGTTCTTTGAAGAACCATCATAGACGGTTTTCTAAGCAACCATATTAGGTTGTAAACTCCTTTTTGAAAATTATAGAGCATTTTGAGACCATAACTGGATACATTCAGATACAATGTTAAGCTACCACTACAAATCCTCTGTATCAGCATTATATTTGCATAACAGTTCAGCTTTAATAAATACTACTTGTGAAACTACTAAAATTTACGGTGATAGATACTGTAGATAACATTAATCTCAAATATATTGGTTTTGTATCCCACAGTGTTAAAATTGCGCAACACTGGCATGTCAATGCTTTGCTTTCACCACAGCACTGGGGTTAATATAACTAAACTATAAACCAATTTTCAGAGAACTTGCAGCTGAACTAGAGCCTTTTAATTTTGCTCTCTGGCATCAGGCCGTCTATTGAGACCTCAGAGAAACAAGGACTTGTTTTTCAGTAACTTGCAACAAGGCCACTGGGTGTTTTTTTTGTGAATAGCTAAAATATTCCTTTAAAATGTATTCATTTCATACCTTGGTAAAACAATCACATTGCTGTTGTTTGAATGATCTAAATAACTTCTCACAAGTGCTGACAGCCGTTCAGCCATTTTGCCAGCCAGCCAGCTTCCATTGCAAAAAGGAAATTGTCCTTTTTGGAAAAGCAAAACAGATCTGAATGGGCAGCAAGAATCAATGTTTCTAGCCTAAAGAAAAGGCCAGCTGCCTGCCCCCTACCATCTAGGCCTATAATCTATAACAACCACTACATCTGCACGACTACATCTGCTTTTCTAGCCCCCTTCTGTTTGGTCCAGCCAGTCAAATGAAAGGGAATATCGGATAGTTAACTCCGTTATTAAAATAAATAGCACCACTAGAACTCTAAAAAAAGGGCATTGTCGAACTTCAACATCTCTTTATGGATTTTTACCTAATACTCCCATTGCAAAATTAGCAGATTGTATTTAAAGGGATAGTTCACCCAAAAATGAAAATTCTGTCATTAATTACTCACCCTCATGTCGTTCCAAACCTGTAAGACCTTCGTTCATCTTCGGAACACAAATTAAGATATTTTTGATGAATTCCGAGAGCTCTCTGACCCTCCATAGACAGCAAGGATCCCAACACGATCAAGGCTCAGAAACATAGCAAGGACATCGTTAAAAATCCACATGACATCAGTGGTTCAACCATAATTTTAGGACGCTACAAGAATACTTTGTGCACAAATAAAACAAAAATAACGACTTTATAGTCGTCTCCTCTGCGTCACCCTGTAGTAGGGCTGTGCGATTAATCGAAATCGTCATAAAATCGCGATTTGAGCATGCGCGATTTCTAAATCGTTTTACAGCACGATTTTCCGCGCCCCGACCTCCCACAGTATGCTATCCGAACCCATCAGAATGCAGCACGCCTCAATGGAGCACGAGAACAGAACAAACTGGGTGGGCATACAAACGTAACGCCAGGTTCACACACTCCCCGTCTGTGGTGCGTATTTTGTCCGCGCCCATGTTAACGGATCAGAGCGTTCACACTGCACGCGATTGCGGTCCGGCAGTGCGCTCCAGGAGTGGTGCGTCTGCAGCAGTCATGCTGCGATCGTTTCCGCACGGAGTCTATTTCTGCTGTGCTGCATGCGCTGAATTAAAGTGACAGCGCATTATTCGCGGTAAAAATGAACATGGATTGACACAGAAATTTAGTAATTACACCATAAATGTATATAATTAAAGTCTACTGTTTCACAGTCAAAACATGGCTTTTTGACTAGATTTAAAACAAGGAAAAGTGCACTTTTAGATAAACAACGCAATAATAGATGGCACTCGTGGTGGTAGTTAAAGTCATATTTACTGAGTTTAAACGTGAATATGTCTATGAAATATTGTATTACTGTACTGTGATAAAAGAGAATCACAATGCTGAAAGAGCATTTTCAGAAACAACGTTTGGATTTGAAATCAAAATAATGAATAAATGTGTTTGTGGTAAACAGCCACGGATCAGGAGCAGACTGCAAACGCGTCCTGTGCGAAAGCAAAATGAGTCTGTGCTGCTTCTGCACCGCATACACATACTGTATGCACACTGCAGATGGAGTACGTGAGAACTTGGCACAACAAATCTAGTTCAACATCTGAGGCAATGCCACAAAGAGCTCTATGACCAATGCATGGCAAAACAAATCCCTGGACACGGGATTTTTTCTTCTCCTGCCATATGTCTGTTCTAGAGACATGTTACAGCTTCTTGATAAAGCTCTAATTGGTTTTCTTTTGAAATAGGTTTCAAATTCACACAATGCATTTATGACTGTAAAGCATGTCTGTGTGTCAAAATCGAAATAGCAAAATTGATCAAAGAAATCGCGATTAGTATTTTTTTTGTCCATATCGCACAGCCCTACCCTCTAGCATAATTTTAGAGAGTATCCACTGAATATAAAAAACGTATGTACGCGGATACGTTGTTTACATTCAGATCAAAGCGTAAACAATGTAAACAACATATCCGCGTACAGTGCTGCTGACACAGAACAGTATATGTTGTTTACGTATGTGACACTTTCCAAAAGGGCGCTATAGGGTGATGCGGAGGAGACGAATTGTTGAATAAAGTCGTTATTTTTGTTTTCTTTGCGCACAAAAAGCATTTTTGTAGCTTCATAAAATTATGGTTGAACCACTGATGTCACGTGGATTATTTTAACGATGTCCTTGCTACATTTCCGAGCCTTGATCGTGTTAGGATCCTCGCTGTCTATGGGAGGGTCAGAGAGCTCTCAGAATTCATCAAAAATATTTATTTGTGTTCGAAGATGAACGAAGGTCTTACAGGTTTGGAACAACATGAGGGTAAGTAATTAATGACAGAATTTTCATTTTTGGGTGAACTATCCCTTTAACACTAGTTTGTGTAAAGTCTCATTAGGTCTTAATGCATTAAAACCTATTACAAGGGGAAAAAAAAGAAGAAAAAAAAATAAAAATATCGCATAAAGTGTTAAATATTACAAATATTAAGCATAACTGATTTAAGAAGTTCCTCCAGTTGGCTTAAATATGTTGTGCATTTGTACACAAACTTAACGTTAAAAGTACATCTCTTTTTGCAATTTTTTTTTATTTCAGACCTTCATGGCCTTATGCACCAGTGATAATCTTACCCATAGCTCAAACTCCTGATTATTAATCACAATTAAGAGAATTTATCCAAGCTTTCAGCTTTCAACCACAAGATATTATTCGTGTGCAATCTAAAACTGGTAAATGCTTGATTGCCCAACACCAGCCCATTGTAAGAAAGAGAGACAAGCAGACATTCAAAAGAGCGCAGAGCTTTTTTTCCCCTCCCTTCAATAAACATGGGCACAACACGGCATGAAAAATACAGCAAAGGTCACAAGAGAGAGCAAAACCAGTGACAAACAAACACCACAAGTCTCTGAATACAGTCAGATCCAGATAAGAGGAAGATGTTGGGGCAGATAATGAATACCTAAAGAACAGAAATTCAAAAGAAAGCAGAAACAGAACAGGGCTTAAATAGAGAAACTGAAACTACAGAAAAACACATGAAAACGGAAGAGTACACAGGAGATCAGAGAAGTAGTAAGCAACAAATATGGACAGTCAGAGAAGACGAAGAAGAATTTCTTGAAGTCACAGTCAGCTGCAGAACAGTCCAGAAACTCTTTATCTGTAAATAGACACCAACGGTGAACACCTCATGACAATATTTCTACATTTCAGAATAAGGAAAGCTGCAAACCGAACATGCAAGTGTTACGAACAAATGTAAATTCTTACATCAATAATAGCCAAAGCTCTTAAAAACCTCTCAAAACACCAATTTGTGGTTAAAAATCCTTAGTATTATTAACATGAGCCTTAAAAAGGGACATATAGTGTAAAACAGTTGTTCAGGTCTACAATCCAAAACGCCCATTTATAGAAAGCAAGCCATAAAATGGGCCATTCATAACACTGCATGGTTACGAGGTCAGAATTATTCGCAAATTAACATATGACCACCCACATTTGCATATCAACACTATTCAGTATTCAGAAACATGGTAGGAGTCGGTATTGCTTCTCTTAAAGGCACAGCAAATCAGTCTGTTTAATGGAGGATAGAAAAATGACCCCTTCATCTGTAGTTAAATATGAAACCACTTAAAACTGTTAGCATATTAGTTACTTGACATGTGCGCATGAGTTAGAATCACACTAAAGTTATTGCCCAAGTCATGACATCATTCACGCAAACTCAAAGCAAAAGAAACTTGAAGCGATGGCTCCTGTCAACTATTAACTCCTTGCGGCTGAGCTTTATACGGTATAGTAAAAGTATACTATCTGAGATTATGAAGCTCAAGGTTAGGTTACCAATTCAGTCACGAGACTCAAACTCCGCCATTGCAGCAAAACTCAGCTGACCTAGCAAAAGCAAACCGTAAGTAGCAGAGCTTCACACACATGCACAAGCCTATATTTACATAGAGGTCATGTCGTTGAGGGCATGATCCAGCTCCTCACTAATGGCCTTATACTTGAGTTTCTGAGCATAAAGCTCATCTGTTCACACACGGAAAGAAAGAAGTCAGACGAGGGAGAGAGTATGAAGGGACAAAAAAGGAAATAGGAAAAAACAGCAAATAAAGATTATGAATGTCAAAGCAGACAGGAAGAGGACAGGGAGATAACGCTATGAATAGAGTACAACTAGTGTAAAATATTTAAATTAAAAAAGGATCATATGGAATCCTAATGGAAGGAAAGTGTTAAAGAGAATGACAATCATACCTTCCAAATCATCAATGGTTTTCTCCAGTTTCGCCACAGACCTCTCGGCAAACTCAGCACGGGTCTCAGCCTAGCAGAGAAATACATGTGCGATCACACTATAATGAGGAAAAATCTGCATAATAAATAAAAATAAAACAGAAAACCTACTGAAAATTGATAAGAAACATGAAAAACCATTTATTAAAACAAAACAAAAAAGTAATTAGGTTAACTATAATATTTATAGTTAGCCTAATTATTCAAAAATTTTAGGAAATGTTACATTTCATAAATGGAGAAGAGTGTCTCAAATGGGTGCAACATAACCAACAGTTATAGGGCAGGATACCAGTTTGTTAAACAATGGCAGAGAGAATTTTGAAAATAAATTTTTGCTATTCTAAAGCTAGAGTAAAATTTAAAAAGACAATACCTATTTTGTTAAAAAAAACAAAAAAAAAACATATGGTCAAATACCTAGGTCAAATAAACCTGGCATTGGATATTTCAAATATTGTTGGCTGCTTGACTTGCTTTTGTTCCTCTTTGCTTTGGATAAAAACATCTGCTAACGGCGTAAATGTAACAGATGTTTTCAATCAATCAAAGTGACTTAAAAATGAGGAAGCCCTAGTAACTCATTTCTCCATTTACTGATACAGGATTATGGGATTATTGTGTGTGCACTGCACGTGGACATCTGTGCTGGTGCTGATGGAAAGGTTTCAACTAGTTTGACCAGTCACTGAACCGAATAAACCAGTTATGAGGACAAATGTAGTAAATAACTATAGACATTTAGTAAACAAGTTAACATTAACTTTGGCAGCCCTAATAGAAATTAAACCTCCATGTGAAATTCTCACCTCCTTCAGTTTATCAGTGAGGATCTTGATTTCTTCCTCATACTTGTCTTCTTTCTGGGAATACTGTAGGGAAAAGAGGAGAATAAGTTGGGGTGGGGTCTTCTGAGAATCTTACAACTCGGCATGCACACACATACCCTGTGAGTTTTGCGTTTGGCACCCTTCAAATAGACAACCGATTTCTTGACACTTTAACACGGACATTTCTACAACAGCTCTTAAGGCGAAAAGTAACACAGCTGTCTATATTTGAACATTACGAGGCATGTTTTTCCCCCTTTTTTAATCCAAATTTCTATGCAGGCTGGCTGAGTCCTGGCCTGCTGCTGTTGTGCAAGGCTTGTGACACGATGGCTGAGATTGCCACTGTGTGCTGCCAGAGCTCTAAACAGATCAGGACATGTGTGCAGGAATGCAGCTGCAACATCAACAAAACACCAGGTACGATAGAAAGGGAAAAACAGCCAGATTTCAAGGTGGAGAGACTCGCATAGTGTGTGTGTGTGTGTATATATATATATATATATATATATATATATA